GGGATGGTTTGATTTTGAGTTCCTGCATGGCAGGGGGATGGACAGGATGGTCTTTGTGGTCTATGGCCTTGTGGTCCAACTCTATGATTCTATGATTCTTCCTTTTGCTACAAACCTACCCAAAAAGCCCTTTTTATTGTTCTTAACCCCTCTAGCAAGCATGAGCTCATTCTGCTCTTTGGCTTCCCTGACTTTACCCCTACCATACCCCAGAATAGACTTCCCAGCCTCAGAAACCTCCTTTCAGCCCTTTCTCAAATTGGTTGCCGCCACCACGCCCGTTGTTCTATGATACTGTATATTCGCTGTTTACTGTTGATTTTATTTGATATTATTTTAATTTAATATGTTTTAATTAGTGCTCAGTTTAATACTTTTAAAAAGGGGTAGGTGGTATGGGTTTTTTTTTTTTAGATTATACTGTATGTATTTTTAAATGTTGCTAGCCACCTCGATTGAGCTCAGAGGGGCGGAATACAAATAAATTTATTATTATTATTATTATTATTATTATTATTATTATTATTATTATTATTATTACATGTGCTAGCTATTTGTTTGAATTCATCTTTAGTGATTTTGTTCCTTTTCCATTTCTTATACATCTCCTCTTTAAAACTTAGTTCAGTTAAAAGTTCTTTTGTCATCCAACCCGGTTTCTTGAGACACCTCCCATTTTTCCTTCTCATTGGAACAGTTTGAGATTGTGCCTTCAGTATCTCCCTTTTGAAAAACTTCCATCCATCCTGAACTCCACTCTCCTTTAGTATTTTTGACCATGGGATCACTCCCAGTGTTTCCCTAAGTTTGTTGAAATCAGCTCTCCTAAAGTCTAGAATGAGTGCCTGACTATGCCTAGCTTCTCCTTTCCACTGTGTAAGAAACTCCAGGAGAACATGATCACTTCCACCCAAGGATCCCACCACTTGTACCCCATTTAACAGGTCATTCCTGTAGGTTAGGATTAGATCTAAAATAGCTGATCCCCTTGTTGTCTCTTCCACCTTTTGGACAAAGAAATTGTCTTTGAGGCAAGTGAGGAATTTGCTAGACCTTGAAGTATTGGCTGTTTTTGACTTCCAGCAAATATCAGGATAGTTGAAGTCTCCCATCACTACTGCATCTCTCCTTTCTAGTGTGTGGTCATCTGTTCTAGAAATGCATTATCCATTTCTTCAGTCTGACTTGGGGGTTTGTAGTAGACTACCACTATAACATCCCTGTTGTTTCCTTCCCCTTTAATTTTTATCCAGATGCTCTCCACCTGATTTCCAGGACTTAAGTCCTGGATCTCTTCACAGGTGTAAACATCCCTGACTTATAATGCTATTCCTCCTCCTTTCCTGTTTGGCCTATTTCTCTTAAAAAGGTTATACCCCTCTATTCCTACATTCCAATCATGACACCCATTCCACCAGGTTTTAGTGATGCCTATTATATCATTTACTGCAATTGTTTTATGCTGTAAACCGCCCGGATTGTGCAACGATTGGGCGGTATATAAATAATAATAATAATAATAATAATAATAATAATAATAATAATAATAATAATAATTGCTTTGTTGTGCTAGGAGTTCAAGTTCATCTTGTTTATTTCCCATATTCTGTGCATTAGTGTAGAGACATCTAAGAGCATTTGTCCTTCCCACTTGCTGCCTGTGTGAGGTTTTTTTCCTTCCACTGTTGTGCCCTTACATCATTTGCCTTGTTCCCTCTATAACACTTTTACTATTATCTCCAGCCCATAATGTACTCCTGCCTTCCAAGACACCTTCCAAGAAACTGTCTCCCTGCCCCACATGACTCAGTTTGAAGCCCTCTTGATCAAATGTTTGAGACTATTTATTGGCAAAAATGTTTCTGCCAACTGATGTGAGATGCAGCCCATATCTTGCCAGAAGTCCACCCTCATGGAACCGCAGCCCATGATCCAAGAATCCAAATTGTTCTTGGTGGAACAATCTATACAGCCAGTTATTCACATCTGCTTTCTTCCTCTCCCTTCCTGGACTGTGCCCTTCAACTGGAAGAAGAGATGAGATAACAACCTGTGCATCCAGCTCTTTCAGCTTCCTACCCAAAGTATTTCTTGGTATTAGGTCCAGTGTTCTACTGTGTGTGTGTGTGTGTGTTGGGGAAGTATCCTAATCAAGGGAAGTGGCTGCCTTTGGATAATGTTGCAAATGAAGTAAATGAAATCCTGCTTGCCATGCAACCTCATTGAGTGACCCTGGGCAAGTCACACTTTCCCAGCCACAGGGGAAGACAATGGCAAACTCCCTCTGAAGAAATCTTTTCAAGAAAACCTCAATATAGATTCCCCTTAGGGTCACCATGAGTCAAAACAACTTGAAGGCACACAGCAACAATTGCTGCTAGCGAGCCCAAGTTCCAAAGAGAACCTGGAAACCATGCCCTATGAGGAATGACAAAGGGAACTGGGTAT